GTGCAATATTCTTTCGACTTGGGCGACAATTTTACGTGCCAATATCCATCTTTCAGGTCAAGCACAGAGAAATATTTCATATCATGCAATTTTGAAGCGAGATCATCAAACGTCGGAATGTATGCGTGCTCATTTTCAATGCTCTTATTCAATTCTTTCGGATCAATACAAATTCTCAACGATTTTTCAACATCTTTTTTCTCTACTGTCACTAAAAAATTAACCCACGGACTGTAGCCTTTCGCTTTTTCGATAATGCCCGTTTTTACCATATGATCCAATTTCAATTTTAATCTTGTTTTCAATTTATCAGGGACTCTACGTGGTGCGTGAGCCACTGGAATTGCATCTTCTTTCAATTTAATATCGTATTCATTTTCAAACGTTCCTAAGCCTTGAAATAAGTCGGCATAATTTTTCGTCACAAAATCTTTATCGATACTCAATTCATTTACGTCTAGTCATGCGTTGTTACTGTGCTTTGTGTTGCGAAACACACGCGTGCGCGATGGCTGCACTATCTTGAAGCGAATGCATGTTCTCAAACCCAAAATTGGTGTGCAATCAAAATCAACAATTGCAAATTTCACCATCAAAGTCATTTCACGAAAAAAACAGACTAAAACGCACGTACCTATTGGCTTAATCTTTTCTCCGGCGAATGCGCGTAACGTCATCGATGTTCGTTTTATCTCAGCGTGAGGTGCGATTCTTTTCAAAACATTCAACGGCAAAACGTCCACCCCAGCTCCAGTATCAATCTTGTGCGGTACGCTCGCATCATCAATTTTAATCCGTTCGATCCATGGGAACGAGTATGCATCGTCAGTTTCACGGTTTTCCTTTGACAAAGTTGTAATCATAAATTCATTATTATCATCGAAATCATAGTCAGAATCATCAAAAGAAATTGTTGCAACATTTTTCACTCTACATACTGACGCAAAATGGTTATTGCGTGAGCATGCCGAGCATTGCTTTCCATAGGCTGGGCAAAATTTAGTGCCAAATTGATGTTCATAATTGCAGAATTTGCATTTTTTACCCGACCTATTCTCATTGCTGCTCTTATTTCGGTTGCTGTTTTGTGTGTCGTTCGTGCGGTGCTGTGTGCGCGCTCGCTTCTGCTTGTTGTTGTTGTTGCTGTTGCTACTGTTCTTGTTGTATCGTTCTTTGTTGTTGTTGTTGTTACGAGAGTCGGCCACGTGGTTCTGTGTGTTTTTGCGTATTTCATTCACATCGGCTGTTTTGCTACCACTCATCACATCCACTTGCTCTCTCGTCGATTCAGCTTGCCGTCCTTTTTCAACTGCTTTGTCATACGTTAAATCACTCGTCTCGAGCATTTGTCGTTGTACTTTTTTGTCGTGAATGCCCATCACAATGCGGTCGCGAAGCATTTCATTTTCTTTATCGCCGAACTCACAATTTCTGGCCAATCGTTTGATATCCATCAAAAATGTGTCGAACGGCTAACCATCTTTTTGTTTTCTCTCATAAAACATGAATATTTCGTACACTGTATTCTTCTTGGCTTTACAGAACGTTTCAAATGCGTTAACGACTGTAGCGTACACTTTTTGTTCGTCTTGGGTCAATGCAAACGTATCAAACACGTCGATTGCCTCCTCTCCTACAGCATTCAACAGTGTGCTGATTTTTATTTCATCATTCTTTTCGTTCAGCTCACCGGCGGTCATGAAAATATCGAAATGCCTTTTAAATTTACGCCAATTCTCACTCAAATTGCCTGTCATTCGCAATTTTTCGATGCGATTCAAATAGTCACTCATTTTGCGGCCTTTTCTTACTCGTTGTGCATTCAATTGGTCGGCTTCGTGCTCTCCGTTGTTATCACCGTCGAACGAATTATCATGTGGCAACGGCAAATCCTCACCAGGCAAATTTTCAGCTGGCAAATCGTCGTTTTGCAATTCATCGGCTGCACTCATCAATCGAATCACTTTTTCTCTTCGCAACGACACTACTTTTTTCTTTCTTATAATCTTTGACTTTGGTGCGATTTCATCAATTTTTTTCTTCTCATTTCGTACACTCGTTGGCCGATATTTTGTGCCACTTCGTAATTTCATTCAGCGACTTTTTTCTGCACAATTTTTTTTTCATTTAATCTTCTTCTTTTCTCTTAATTTCGATGCTCATGCCCACTGAATTCACTTCCATCATTTTTAATTGAACATTTTGTCGATGATTTCGTCGATTTTTTCGGATAGTTGTTCACTGTTAAGTCAGCGCCATGTGGCAACCTTACACAGAGGTGCGGAGTGAGAGAGTAAATGATAATGCGTGGTGATGCTATGACAGTGTAACTAAGACTACTTTTATTGACATTCTTAACGCTAGACATTAGTTCGTACTTATTAGCGCAGGGCTGCCACAATTATTGTTATGTTTATACTTATTTGTGGTTCTTTTTATTTTCTACAATAATGCCGAAGACACCCAATTCCTAATCGTTATCTATTTTCAGTAGCGAGAAAAATGCAAAAACGTCTTTTCCGCTCAATGCTGAGTAGCAAAAGTGACACATTGCTCGCATCTTAATTTGTCTATTTTTTGCTCGAAGTTTTTTCCATCTCACTTATGGATAAAGAGCTCATAAGTTGTTCATTCGTTCTGTGGGTGTCAATTGTATGATTGCAATGTCGAAAGCATAGTTTTGACATTTTTTTACACTTTTTTCGATTTTTGCCTGTGTGGCGGCCATCTACATGGGAAGTTTGTTTAAAAACCTCGTTTTAACATATATCGCAATTATCACGGAGGACGATAGTCTGACAAGTGACGCACCATAGACTGTGCATTTCAAGCCAAATATCAAAAATGCCAGTTTTTGCGTCACGAGTATATATACAGTAAATATGCTATTTTCTCAGGACACTATTTGGGCCCCGGCATGTAAGGTACCGTTGGAAAGGTCTTGGCCCAAATAGTCGGAAACACCATATCCCCCATGCCTAAAGTGTGGTCTAGGCAAAAATATAGCGGTTGGAAAATTTCGATAAATTTTCAAATCTATACCCATATCTTACGAAGGGGGTACCCAGGGGGTGGTCTGAGGTGTCCAAGAGAAGCTCCTCCTCTCCATCTTTCCAACGCCGGTATAAGTGCCCCGATTGGTCTAAAAACGAAAAAATTATGGGCATTGGCAGTTTGATCTTGATTTTTTATGAAAGTATTGATTTGTGCGTCCGTTCGTCTGTCCGGAAACTTTTTTGACCCCCACAGATTCCCGTGCCGATATGCCTAAGCTGTAGCTGGTGTCGGGCCAAATCGAAACCCGTCCTCAGATTGACATTTGCATTACAGGAGAGCTGGCTATGGCTTCACTAGCCTGCATGTATACGATTTTTTCAAGTATTTATTTCGCACACTAGATCAACTCAGACACCCATCGAGCAAACTCAGCTCGTAATTATTTGAGAAGACTTTCAAAAAGTTCCATACACACATGCCAATGTTTATGTGATATAAAAGACAAAAGTCGATTTTTATGAAAAATCGACCCCCTTTAATTTCACACCAAACGCGATTTCTCAAAAATCAGCCCTACAATGTTTTACCAAAAACTGAGCGTTTGTAGCCGGCCACCATACCAACAAAATGGTATATGCCACATATCCGGGAAAATTTGTATTGCGAAGTTCTGGGCATAGGCAATTCATCAATGAACGGAATTTGTACGAAGAGTCACATTCTACGATGAAATTGCTTTCGAAAACACGCATTGACTGGCTGGAAAGGTTCACGAAAGGCCATATCCGCTCAATTTTCGACGAGCAATCGATTAAATTGTGGTCACAATGCGATCCGAGGCCATTTCATGGTCGAAAAATAGGTCGGATTGAAGTGAATTTTTCAACTTGCTCCATTTTCACTGAAAATGGCATTTTTGTTCGGAAAACACGTGAAATAGACCTCTGACGACAATTTGGTCTTGGAAACCTGCTATTTTTTCGGGAAAATAATGGGAGTCCACGAACACTTGAATATCCATTTCGTTGTCATTTTGGTCATAAATCGGCATTTTGGCATCTGAATGTATGAAATTGAACTTTTGTTCGGGAGATACATAAAACATGCACTTTCCAGAGCTTTGGTGGTTAGAAATTAATATGTTTCAATGAAGTAATGGGTCCAAAATTACTTCAAAACTCTTTTAATGGATATTTTGAAATTTAATCAAATTTTACAATGTCCAATAAGGGGAAAATGGGACTTTTTAAATGAAAGTGGAAATTTGCTGTTTACAAAACTTGCGAAATGTGGATGCGAATTTTTTACCCGAAAAATAACAATTTCCCAATGATAAGACCTTAAAATAGACATATTTCTGGCAAAAGTATATTTTTTCCGAGAATAATTGCCTTACAAAATTAGTGATATCAGATGAAAAACCTCTAGACGAGGTTAAAATGGAGTGAAGCTCCTGTGCGTGGATTTACCACTCAAAATGACTGATATCATTTTGAGTGACGCTTTGACGCTGTATTATCTCTGGGTACGAAGTTCAAAAGTGTTTTTCGCATTCACTATTGTGAAATTTTATTTACAATAAAGAAAAATATCGCGTCACGACTTTTGAATTTAGTCTCCAAGTCAAACTTTCAAGCGTTTTGCCGTCCAAAAGTCGTGACGCGATATTTTTCCTTATTGTAAATAAATTTTCACAATAGTGAATGCGAAAAACACTTTTGAACTTCGTTCCCAGAGATAATGCAGCGTCAAAGCGTCACTCAAAATGATATCAGTCATTTTGAGTGGTAAATCCACGCACAGGAGCGTCACTCCATTTTAACCTCGTCTAGAGGTTTTTCATCTGATTTCAGATAATCAAATATCTGTGCATGGGCTAATGAAAAATATAATGCATTTTTCTCAAATTTTCAAATTTATTCGGTTCTTTTATTGAACATCAAATGACAGGGGCAAAAAAAGATACGGTATTCAGCTTTTTCAGGCGCCTGAAACCCCTTTTTTCAAGCTATTCTTCTTCTTTGATTACGTCTCATCTTTGGCTTCCGGATCCAATCAAGCAACGGTGCAATCGGTTGAAAAATAACTGGCTTACCACCCGAATGAAATATGGTAATACCCACGAGTTTGTTATTCTTTTTCGAAATCATTGGACCTCCAAACGTAAAGGGAGTTCCCATGCTTCCATCTAAAGTGTAACACATCAAATGATTTGCATCAAAAGCAGCGCCATATTTCGGTTTGCATTTGGCGCCATCCAAATACTTTGTATCATAACGCCTCGTTCTCATTGTTCCATCTGATACCATATCACCATAAACAGTGACCATTTCGGACGGGTCATCCATTTTGTAATCTTTGTCCACCAAATCGATGCTGCCGACGTTATCGTTGAACTCCAACGGTTCTCCAAGTGTAATCTTGGCAACGTTAAATGCAAACCTCGACAATGCGTATTTCTCATGAATTTCTATCTGGTCTTCAGTGACTTTAAGTTTTGTCGCATTTCTTGATAGTTTATTAACGGTTACGTAGACATATGGGGCGCCGATCACACTATAAGCACAGGTCAAAATCTCCGTTTTCGACAAAATGATTGCATTAAATTCTAGTTGAAAATTTTCGTCGGCATGGGCAAGTTCATTTTTGTAAGCAGTAAGAAATTCTGTAATAGAAAAACATCTCCGAATGAATATTTATGTTTATGAATCATGAAAAATCTCCACTTCTGCCTCTCCTATGTTTAAAATTAAAAAAATTGACGTTAAAAACGGCTTGATTTAGTTCGAATTTCAAATGCACACTTACTTCCCGGTACCGTTATATCGGCTATAAATTTAGCTTCGTTAGGTGTAAGCGGAGGTGGAATTGGTTTCACGCTCTGAAATTAATGCAAAAAATGATTTTGTCCGTGTTGTTGAGAATAAAAATTGGGGCATTGTGATTAGATACCTTTGGGTCATGAATAAAATCAAGGAATAGAGTAATTGGAAGGAACATTCCGCGGCCACCTGTTGTTCCATATATACCCATTGTTATCCCCACTATTTTGCCATTTATTTTTGAAACGACTGGTCCACCCGAATCGCCGTGTGCAATAATTTCGCCATCATTCGTTGCTTCACCAGTTGTAAAGTATAAAGTCTGACTTATGTTAAATGTGTTGGCTGGTTCGACATCAGATATATAGTTTGCATCGCAACGCCTCAATATCAATGGTCCGATGTTGTTCAACACGCCATATCCATAGGCAGTGACCACTTCTGATTGGTCATTCAATTTGTAATCCTTATCCACGAGTTCGATACTACCAACGGTATCGCTGAATTCTAACGGCGTTTTCAGTGTAATTTTGGCAATATCAAATGCACCAACAATCAAATGACTATAATGAGGGTGCCATGCAATGTTCTCTTTTTCTACTTTGATTTTAATTTTCTGGTTTGCATCTGATACAACTCTCGTACCAGCTACCACATGAACATATGGGGCGTCATCCACACAATGGGCATTCGTGATAATTTCCGTTTTCGACAGGATAAATGCGGTACAAATACTCGTCATTTTTCTACTGGCATCATTTGGATGGTCTTTGTATTCATGCAAATATTTTGTAATAAAATCGTTTCATTCTCAGTACAAGTAATAATATTTGAAGAAAAAATGAACACACACACACAAAATTGCTAGAGGAAACCGCGAATTCTTCATCTACAAAATTCGTTTCTATCATTCAGTTTTAATACCATCTGTATGTTGACTCAAATATTTGACTAAATCTATGATCCACTATGAAAGATACTTTTGACCACTACAATGTGATGCATTTTCTGACAGTAAACTGACAACGCACAATTCAAAGTTATCATTTACAGTGAATCGTTTCTGGAGAAAGTTCGAAAAATGTCCCAGTTGTAAATAATATATTGTTTGAAAAAAATTATAAAATCTAGCATTTTTTTCAATTTTCTGAAGCGTGGTCAGCCCCTAGCAAAATTGATAGAATATTTGAATTTTTCGGACAAAAATTCACACGAAGAAAAAAGAAAATAATTCTAAAGCAGACCTACTTGCGGGGGCATGGATTCCAGCTACAAACTTTGCCTGTGACATGTTTTCAATCACTTCGCCCTTAAGAAGAGCTTGCGAGAAAAAGCCATCTGTTCATTGGAAAAGAAGTTGAAATTTCGAATTGAATATTATAAAAGTCTGAAAAAATCTTTTGGAATCATAAAAAGCTAGTTCGGAAACCAAAAATGTCTTACGTTTTCCTTGAAGTTCCTAGAAAAAGAAATTTCGTGTTAATTTTCATTTCTACAAAGATATCGTATTTTATTGGATAAAAGTGAAAATGATAAAGGAATAGAAAGAACTTACCGAAAATTCAACGATAAATAGCACCGAAAACAAACCGTGTAGTAGCTTCATTTTAATTTGCCAACCAAACAGAGTTTTAACCTGTTGCACAAGTAGATAGTAGAGAACCGTCTTGTACTTCTTTAGAAGATCCTTCGAATTCTTTTGGTATTCCCCATGCGGTGCTGCCTGTTCTAAACCATTAATACACCAATAGCTGACACGTGCCATACAATCAATAATTGATGAATTCAGGTCTAATAACACTATGCAACAAAGGCTAATGCGGATTTTGGGATAAAATTTGAAGATCCAGGATATGCGCTAGGTATCATTTCAGTCGGTTGATGTTGAACGAAAAATCGAGTTCGAAGTGCTACCAGCGCCATAAACGAAACCGTTATGAATCTGATTTTTTTTTTCGATACAAAATAATCTAAAAATATCTTCTATTAAAAAAAGCAGTCAATGACAGATAGCTGAGGATATATGCTGAGTATAGAAATCAATAAGCTGAGATTGGGACATTTTGACTTTATGACGCATACAATTTCGTGCATTTCATCATGAATTTATATGGACTACACGTCATAAAGTCAAAATGTCCCAATCTCAGATTATTGAGTTTCTATGCTCAGCATATATCCTCAGCTATCTATAGAATCAAATTGTAAATTCCATTTCTGAACTCACAGTTTATAAAAAATATTTTATTTACATCAATAAAATTTAGAAAATCTACAATTATTCCATTTCAAATGATTTCCATTTGAAATGTTAGACGACAACGCAATTGTCACTTGTCAATATGGCGACTGGAGTGTATATGTATATCCGTTGAACGTAAGATGGCGCTGTTGATTGCGAAGTTTCGAACTCCAAATGGAAATCATTTGCAGTGGAATAATTATAGTTTTTCCAAGTTTACTGATGCAAATAAAATATTTTTAATAAACTGTGAGTTCAGAAATGGAATTTACAATTTTATTCTAACCTTTTTTTTTCATTAGAAGATGTTTACGGATTATTTTGTATTGAAAAAAGTCAGACTCACAACGGTTTTGTTTGTGGCGATGGTAGCGATTCAAGCGGCATATGATGGCACATGATAGCCTTTTAAAATTTATACCGAATGTCTTAATTCAATTCGCATTAGCCTTTCGAAAATGAAATTCCCCCAAAAAGAGTAGACTCATTTCCAAGGTTTTTTGGCCCACTTAATCCAAATCTGATACGGAAACCGCAATGATTCTATCTTAAAAACTAGACGTGCCAGGACAAACTAACGCCAGATTTGGATTAAGTGGGCCCAAAAACGTTGTAAATAAGTTCCCTTCTCTGTGGTTGTTTCTTGTTGTTGCATAGTATAATCATATTCAGACACTAAATGAAGCTCAATAACAAAATACCTTTGATGGACACGTGTAGCTGATACAATATGTGGAAATTGATAGAAAAAAATGGAATACGTTCGAAAACATTTTAAGTTCAGACGTAACTGGTTCGTAATTTGGTTATTTTTGGCTGTTGTCAATTGTTTTAACACTTGCTCATTGTTTTTTGTGTACATTTTTGTTCTCCAGCCTGATGATGCTCCTAATAAGAGCAAAACCTCGCACAATAAACGAATAATTATTTTCGAAAACGGCTTTAGCCCAACACACCACTTTTGTGTTTGTTCAGATGGAATGAAAAACAACAGCTATACCTACGTGTGCACCAGAGGAATTTAGTGCATGTGATGATATGAATTTACTTTAAGTGTACTTTTTTGTTCAATTCGTGATGAAGGCTCATCATGTAGTCATGTAGTCATGTACATACAGTAATCCAAAATGTATTCGGCCACCTGTAAACAATTGTTACTTTTCCGTTCACAACGTGTCAAGGGAAAGTATAGGAATTGGTCCCGAAAACTTTTTTCGCAAAATTAGCTTAGATCATCATAAAAACTCACGAAACGCGTAGAAAACCACTTTTTGAGACACTTTTCCGTTCGTGTGCTGTCGTCGTAGCTGTTTGTTACGTACTGCGATAAAAGCCTATATAAACAATGTTATTATATTTGACAATATTCGACTCGATGTCAATGACGATGTGGCAGCGCCACCTATAGAGATTCCTTATTGAAATAAGTGGAACTATTGAGTGCGT